CCATCCAGAATTTTATTCATCAATCTTTGAAATTCGAAGGGAGCACAAGCTAAACCCATTGGTAGTCGCTTATACTGGTATTTTCCATCCGGTGTAACGAATACCGTTTTAGCTCTTTCTGTGGGTGGAATTTCTATTTGGAAATAGCCTTGGTAGAGGTCGAACATATTAAAAAATTTAGCTCCTCTTACCGCTTCCAAACAATCATCAATTCGCGGCATCGGATAATAAACAACTTGAGTCATCCGATTAACAGCACGAAGGTCATTTAATAATCGATAGGTTCCATCCGATTTTGGAATCAATAACGCAGGTGAACCACCAGGAGCTTCTGAAGGCTCAATGATATCGTATTCAATTAGCTCTTTGATTAAACTTTGGTAAGCTTGTCGAGCAACAATTGAACAAGAATAAGGCTTTTGATATGGAATTTGATTCTCTCCAATATCAATCTTAATTGGCCATTTTTGCCAAGGAACAAAACCTAAATCACCTCTGTGTATCGAAAATACATCATTGAACTTAAGAAGTAAATTCATTAATTCATTTTTCTGATCAGGTTTTAGCTTAGAATCCATTCTAGCTTTTAATCGTTCTTCTAATGAGGGTAATTGATTAATCTCATTAGCCTTTTGGAAATAGATTGAAACTTTTTCTATTTCTTTTGTTTCTTGAATTGCTTGTAAAAAGCAATTGACTTTACAATTATCTTTAGAAGGATTTGATTCATTGAGTAAATTTTCTTTTGGCATTCGTTGAACACCAACTTCTCCTCTTTTACTCAATTCAATTGATTCTTCAGGGGTGCAGAATCTAAATAAAATTTCATTATTAACGGGTTCAGAATCAACATATTCTTGAAGGGTAACTGAATAGTTTCCTCCACAATTTTTTATCGATGTATAAAAGATATCATTAAATCCATTACCAACAACCATTATTGGTTCTAAATTTCTTGCAACTTGAAATCTTAAAGCTTTTACCGTATTCATCTCTTTGTGTTTCATCAAGGCGTAAGCAGCACCTTCGATATCCAAATAACCATCAGCAACAATTCCTTTAATCGAAACATCAGATTTCATCACAAATGCATTTAATTCAGCTGCTAATTGATAATCAATACACGCAGTATTGGCACCAGTGTCAATCAATACTTCACCACTTTTATAAAGTTCACGATTAGGCTTACACAGATGCATTGTAACTGTAGGGATGTTGATTACCTTTGGATCCATCCTAGTAATCATCGGTCTCATCTGATTACAATTAGTCATGAACATGAATTTTGAGGTACCAGGAGTATTAGACTCAGCAGTTTCAGATGAATTTAACAAATTAGCACTTGTAGTTGATGTTGATTGTTGTTGTTGTTGAGTTGATTGCTGTCGATTTGAATTGTTAGGGCAAAATCGAGCAACATGTCCTTCCTCTTTACAAATGTAACAAGTTGGTCTGGTTCTCATACCACTTTGTTGATTAACCTTTTGATTAACTTGATTAGGTTGACTAATCTGTTGAGTGTTACTCTGATGACCAGTTTTTTGTCTTCGATCATCACTTCGAGTTTTCTTCTTTTACTCAATTGAAGAGAAGTACTTATGGATAAGTAATCCTAAAAGAGAATCTAAGTCAGTATTAGCTCTCACTTCAATTACCTTTTCTCGTAATGTCTTTGGTAAGTGTTCCAACACTTCGTAAAGGAATCCTTCTTTGGTCATAACTCCTTTAACTTTAGCAACACGATCTTTTAATTTGTCCACAAATATCGATGGATGCTCATCGAAATTATAAACCATTGAACTTAACTCTGCTTGTGCGGTAGCAAGAGCTGTAGGCCCTCTTAGATAGCGTTCCAATGCTTTCACATAGCTCTCATAACTATGATCTTCTTCATCGAGTGTTTCAGCAGCATCAAGTAGCTCAAAAGCTAGAGCTTTTTTCAGCACTCTAAGTCGGGTATCATCATTAACATTTTCATACTTAAGCTGGCGCTTAACATTTTTTAACCAAGCCCATGCATCAGCATTTTGCTTAAACGGTGGCAAAATTGGGTCTTTATCCTTAACTTGATAAACTGGTGGGGGTGGATAAATAAATTGTTGATTGGGATCAACCACAAACGGTGATCTCGGTGGTGTAGCAACATTTGGATGAACTGAACCAATTGTTTCTACTTCATCATCATTCTCATCTTCTCGATCGACTCCGGTCGGATCTTCATTCAATTCTCGTAAAAATCTTGAATCGGGTTTGATTACCTTTTTAGCAGTAGAAGATTTCGGTGCCCACCGCTTAATCATCGTCCAGATCATTCGCTTAGCGGGGTTAGAAACATTTAACTTCTTTACAGCAGCTTCGGTAGCCAAACTAATTACCTCTGATTTAATACCGAGTTTAAGAATTATCTCCTTAATGTCGACTTCAGGAATGGATTCCTTTCTCATCTCCAGAACCCATTCAGGTGTATTAATTCCTTCTAATACTTTAGCATTTAGACTCTCAGCATTCTTAGTAGAATAGTCTAACTTACACAATGCCAATTGTGTAACAACAGCGGATTTGAACAAAATCCTTCCACAAGCTTCATTGGGCGATTCCAATCCCCATGAAAGCAGAAAATTCATCATCTCTCCATGAGATATATCTTTTACCTTTGTGTCACCTTCTTTACCCGAATTGCCCGAAGTACCAGAATTACCAGGTTCCAACATTATATCTATAGCGATTATCCTGCCTGGGTCGCCAAGTGTAAGAGTTTTTATCGTTCAATGTTTATTAGAATAGTTCCAACTATTGATTAGAACCAATTAAAATAGAAGATTGCACTCAGACCTTACACTAAATCTGATTAAGTTCGTATCGTGGATAATCACTAAATAACGATGAACCAAAGTAGGACTTCTGGGGTCTCAGTAAATTAAACTTCACAACTTAACTAATTAGAATTAGTTAATTAATTAAACACTTAAATTTAAGGTTATCCTCAGCCTTAAACACTTAATTTATTAAGGTTATCCTCAGCCTTAAATAAATTAACACAAAATTGAAGAATTAAAGTTTACACTTTCACTTATAACAACATTTAATTACTTAAAGAAAACACATTTTTCACCAGCTATTTATATCTAACTTTAGGAAAAGGAAATAAGGAAATGGAAGTAGTTATTGGAATAACTATATAACTGGACAACATTTTCGGGTTAATTTAGTCTCAGGGGATCTAATTAACTAAGATTTTAGGAATTTTAGAAAATTCCAATTGAAGAGGGAAAAGAAAAGAGAACAAAGGAAATGAAAAGAAAACAATAAAGGGAAGAACAATTTGATGTTCTCTTAGGGACCTTCTCATAATAACAATCTATTTTCGATTATCGATAGATTTAATTAATTCAATTAGAATTAAATGGAGAGTCAAATTTATCCTTTCAAGATAACGGAAATGAACAAATGAAAAATATTTGACAATGACCATGAGATTGATGATGATTTTTGGTTGATTTGTTTGTTCAATTGTTTTCATTGATTTATAATGAAGGAAAACCTTTCAATTGAACTAAATCAACAACAATCAGTAATCATGATAACAAGTAAAAGGTAACATTTAAACAGAACAATAAACAAGAAGTAAAAACAAACTTATTATTACATCCATTGATGATCAATTGATTAGGGTAATAAAAGTAACTCTTTATGATTGATTTGGATTCAATTTATGGTTATTACCCAACTGACCATTAAGATTACTGGTAATTATTGTGAATACAATATACTTGCTACTTCATTTTTTTGTTTCCATTCTATCCTTGTGTATTTACCAACAAATTGATTAACAACAATTATCATTCAAGCTATGATGGTGATTATGATCAAACCTTTTCTCAGACTTTATCAATCTGATCACAATCGTAATCAAGTTTACCTTTCACCAATTAACTAACACTCGTTACTACTATCAATTAGTCATCTTAGATATAATATCTCATGCTAATCAATAACGATAATTCATCATTGAAACAATTTTAATCTTCTTTTAGCTAATCAAAATCAATATTTGATCATCACTTTGATCAACATTTTGTTTACACAAAACTATTACTAGTGATTTTTTTACAATCTAAACACACATATGAATCCTTTTATCAATATGGATTAAGTTTTAAGCCATCATACAAGTATTGAAGATCATGTATTATGAGATTATGAGAGCTTGTTTACTTATTGATGCTAATTAATTTGCTCTTGGTGCACATATGAATGGTAACAATATGCAAAAAGTGTTTATATTATGGTTGTTGTTGAAAGCACACATATTATTGTAATAATATGGAAACATGAGGAATATATTGGAAGTGTTTTTGCAAATTGTTGTTATATTATATTCAACAGGGAATCGGTTCTGGTTTTTTCGGAGAGAGAGAGATGAGATTTTTCTCTTGCAAAGCGAAAAGCTCAAATTCTTAAACCAGTTCTAATATTGTGCTAACAATAATAATTTACTACTCATGGTCATAGTCCAGAGCATCTTATGTTCAGAGAGAGAGAGAGAGAGAGAGAGAGAGAGAGAGAGTCTTATATGAATCAATCAATCACAAAACCTCATTAACAAAGTAATCATTTGGTTGTTGTTACTGGAAAAATCTAAACATCTCACAAATCAGCAAAGTTTTACTTTTCTCAAAGTAATTATTGAATTTTCAATCTCGATCAAGGTTATCGATACTGTTGTAATGCTATTGGAAACACTTTCCTTGCAGAAACCACGAGCACGGAGAATTGCAATTATTAAAGCCCAGTTAATTTCTCTAATTGGTCAAGATGAGAATTCAAATGAAAAGATGAACAAACTAATCTCCAAAAGTTATTAAGAAATTGGTTAAAAATTTCAATTGGAAATAATAACAAGAAAACTTTTCATTGGAACAAAAAAATAGAAAGGTAAACATTCATAATATTATTATGCAAATATTTTTGTACCTTTTTTTCATTTGAGTTTTAGGATTTGAGAAAAAATCTATGATATTATTACCCTGAAGCTGAATGAGATTCATGGAGAAAATCAATTATTTTTATTGTAATACAGAATAAAGATGAAGATAAAAGTGTTACCCAGACGATAAAAGTTATTGAAACAGTAATGATAAGTTGAAAACTTCCGGAGGAAATGTTTCCACTGGTAAAATATCATCATGATTATCTAGTTGTTATTATTATGATACATTTTTTTAACATAAGGATTTCCTGTCGTTTCAGTGTGACCATGTTATCATTTCTATCAGGAAAATGGACTTACAAAGGCTGAAAGTAAAAAACAACAGCAACAAAGTGAATGGTCAACTTATCTCAATGTGATTTTACATAATCTTTACCTTGTTAATGACATTGGAGCTAAAATGTGTTATCTTTGGCTTTATAATCATTGTGGTTACAATTATGAGATAATCTTGAGTGAAAAAAGGTAAAAGTAAAAGATATTTTTTTATTTACTAAGGTCTTTGGAATGAGAAAACGAATCTACAATCAAATTTTGTGTCTTCATCATCATCATTAAGATTCGTTATAATTTTCTATGGTTCTAAAGTTCTCATATAACTTATTTGCTGAAATCGTGGATGATCTCAGGGAAAGAGAAATGAGAATTTAAATTAGATTGAAAATTATTCCAAGCAGAGTAACATTAAGGTCAATGTGTGAGGCCGTTTTCTTTTTGGGTCCATTATATTGACTCTGTGAAGAAGAGGAAGGTCAAGGAGGATGAAGAGAAAGAAAAGTTGTAATGATGATAAGAGAGAGAGAAAGAGAGATGCAGTTAACTTTGAAATTCTAATGAACCATTAAAAGAGAGAGAGAGAGAGAGCTGATGATGACGATGATGATGATAATGAGAGAAAAAGAGTGAGAGAGTAACTGATATAAAACTTGTTTTAATAAGCATATGGGATGATGATGATGATAATTTTTACTGTTGTTTTACTTCATACAGGGTCGATAAGACGTTGTACCGACGTCAAATTAAATAAAACGGATAACCAATCAAGATGCAAATTGACATGAAAACGGGCACCGAGAATGTAATAAGATGCATTGGATGGGAGCATATTTGTGTATATCTTGCTTTAAGGCTTGAATATTTATATTTTTAAGAGTAAGAAATAAATTTTGTTTTTTCGCTGTTTACAATCAGCATAAGTTTGCAATTTTGTGTATCTTGTTGTTGTTATTTGATTGCTTGTTGACGGTTTGCATTTTGTTCACAAATAAGTTAAAGAGGAAATTGGGATGAATGATGTGAAAAATTGTCAAGGACTTCAAGGGCTATTTACTAATTGGACATTCTAAAGGGATGAAGAAATTACTTCTTCACCTAATAATAAAGATGATAATAGTTATGAAGACTTAGAATGATTAGCGAGAAAGAGGTAATATTAGAAGGAGAGTGATGATGATGAGGTGGAGGAGGATGAAGATGAAAAGGAAGAGAGAAAGAGAGAGAGAGAGAGGGGGTGTAGAGAGGAAGAGAATGACTTTTAATAAAGTAGCAAAAAAGAGCAGATGATGATGAAGAAAAGTTATTAAACGAACCAGAGAAACTACTAATTAACTTTTCGCTCTTTTTATATCATAGTTTTATTTTCTGTGGCGAAACCGTAACTGGTCAATGAGATGATGGATAGACCATAAAAAAATAGTTCATATAAAGATAATAATAATAATGAAGATGATGGAGATAAATCAAATGATCATTAGCCAAAGCTAAAAACCAGAGCTCTACAATCTAATTAATCCTGATTATCTTTCCAAGAATTTATTATTATATCATCGTAAAGTTTTTCATTCCAATTTCTGTCTTAATCTTAATCATTTTAATTTCTGAAACCTGATGGTTATCAAATCTGATAAATATAATAGTAGATGAGGATGTTAATTGAAAATCAATTCAATTTATTTTATTATCACTATATTATTGAGATAATAATGAATGATGAAGATGAGGTTAATAGTTACCTTTCTATATATTATATTGTTAATTATTATTATATTCATTGTACTTTGTAATATGATTTCCAAAATTAGAAATTGATTCAGGGTAGAAAGAAAGAAAGAAAGAGAAAATCTCTGAACATGATGAATAATTTGATCCGAGAAAATGATGATCATGATAAAGATAAAGATGATGAAGACTAGAATATGAAGAGAAGAAAAAAAAATGATGAAGATGATGATTCTGATGATGGTAGAGTAGTAATAATGAAAAGGAATATGAGGAGAAAGGTGAGATACATGGATCTCAGATTGCTTCATGTCATTCTGAATGATGGATCACATGAATTTTATTCTGTAAATCATCTGATATCATTGATATTTCTTGTTTTCCTTATCATCATCATCATCATCATTTTCTTCCTCATCTTCAAGATGATGGAGAGTAAAAAAACATATTACATTTTGAAAATGATGAAAAAAATATTATCGATCAGATGAAATTTTTAGCAGATTTTGTCTCTCTCACTCACTATTTCGGAGAAATGAATTAACTCATAATATTGATGATATTATTATGGTGATGATTGTTTTCCTTTTTTTTCTTGCTTTCATTAATGATGAAGATGAAAATTGTCCTCATGAATTTTACCTTTTATCATCCTGATCATCATCCTTCTTAATTTTACATCATCAATGTCAATGATTATTTCTCACGCAATTTTCTTATTCCCATTGAACTTTATGTAGATAAGATTATTACCTTATCCCTCTTTTTTTTCAACTTTTTAGAAAATAATTACAAAGGTAATTCAATATGATTTTCATGGGGAATCAATTTTGATTCTTGGTTTTATCATGATGATTATGGAGAGATGATTACGTATCAGACTATGGTTCAAAATCAAATCAACTCTAATACTAATATTGGACGATAATTTTACCTGAAACTTGATCAGTAATGTATCATGATAATGATGAAAAAAAAACAAGGTTTCAGTTTATTTAATCATGAAAATGATGTATCAAAAATAATCAATCTTATCTTCATCATCTCATATTGCAAATGCTTTTTCATCATGTTATCATAATTTCAACTTTTTTTTTCATCATGTCGCTGGCTTAGATTGATAATCATACATGTATCATGATATTAGAGATGATATTTTTAGATTGTATTCAATTTATACACCAAGAGGATGGATTAATGGAAATGGATACAGTGTATGAGATTAGTTTTAATGGTGATTAGAAGGGTAAATCTTTTGATATCATCTTAATCTTTGTGATAATGGACATTTTTTTCACTTGATCATTTTTGTTGATCATTGATTGAAAGTTCAATCAAGATTATCTCGATCGTTATATGTAATATATTCAGATTAATGAATTTGAAACATGTAGTTTTTGCCATTAACACGGATCAAGATTATCAATTAAATTATCTTTCATTCAATTATTTGTTTAATTTCATTTGATTAGGTCACCGAGTTTTATATTCACTTGATTAGATTTGATATTATCATGATCCGTGATTGAAACAAGTTTTTTTTTTGCCTTTCATATTTGATTTAATTCTTGGTTATGATGATGAAAAGATGATTAATCAACTCAATTAACTCGATACCAATGGTTATAATCAAATTTTCATCATGTTTGTTACACATATTTAAAGATAACGGGCAAAAAAGAGCAACAATTGAAACAAAATCAGCTTTCAATTTAATTAACATCAACTTTTGTCCATCTCTTTATCATGTTGACTAGTTTATCTTGATGATTTCAATTCATATTTAACCTTTTCAATGGCCTTCATTGGTTAGGTTATTGATACTTATCATCATCGTGATCCTTTTTGAGAGACAAAGATAATCATCATGTCCCCAAAACTGACCAGTTGACGTCAATCTGATAAAAACTTTATGTCCACTAATCGTGATTAAAGGTAATATCAATGATGTCGATGATGAAATCGTTGTAACAGAGTAGAGAGAAAATGATGTAAAGATGATAATTCAGATCAAAGGGTATCTTGTCTTTTAGATTGGTCATCATCATGAAAGAGAAATTGTTATTGATAAACTGACCATGATTATGATGATATAGTTTTTATTTTGTTGGTCATTTCCTTCAGTTTTTTTCCCTCAATCGTATAATAAAAGCAAAATGAGTTTGGATTAGCGATCAATGTAATGTCCAGTTAAGCAAAAAGCATACAAAAGGTAAAACCAGTTTCCGGTTTGACCAACCATGAATGATTTATGGTCACCATCATAACATATACACTTTATTATACTCATGGATTTTATTATTTTCATTATTAATCCAAACTGACCAGTACAGAATGTCTAGAAATCTATCTCACTGCTCTGTGCAAGTGTGTGAATGTAACAAGTGTAAATTCATTATGAATACCTTTTTTTCATGATGAATTGTAAATCATGGTGAAAAAAATCTCTACCTGAGTGAAAGCTTATCTATCCTCTTCTTTTTTCATGGAAATCAGAATTTTTTTTCTTGGAACTTCCTCTCCCTTTCCAGGTAACGAAAATGGAAACTTAGTTTGAATCTTACTTTGAAATCTTTTCAGCTACTTTTCCTGTGATTATCACTCAACTCTTGAAACTTTTCCTTCCACCAGAAACTCATGGACTCAATTCAGTTCCACCTTGATAAACTTTGATTAAATCACGTAAACTGCTTTTTTCAGAGAACCACAGCTTATTTCAAGAGCATCACCTGAATAATGATAAAATATCATGATAACATTCATAAAGTGATGTATGAACAGTAAGTGAACACAAAATAGCAAAGAAAAAATTTTATCTTCACTTTCAGTAATTCAGTCAGAACCTTTATCATTATCAACTCATCTTCATCATTTGTTACATCATCAGAGAGCTATTTGTTTACCAATGATGATCAGAAAAAAGGTAAAACCATGTTGATAGTGATGATAAAGATGAAGATAGAAAATTTTTCTTTTTTTACCTGATTGATCACTTGAAATTTTTTCTAATCTAAAGAGATGAAGAGAGAGAGAGAGAGAGAGAGAGAGAGATAATATTATCTGGTAGTAACAGTTGTTATAATAGTATCATCATCATCTCAATTTTGTTTACGATGGACTCATCTTCATCTTTATCCTTTACTTTTTTTTTCATCATCATCATCATCTGATGATGATGCTCGTAGTTATTATCGTAAGGTAAGTAAAAGGCTTTTACTACAAAATTGAATCAATCTCATCCATCATCTTGCAATATCATTCACATGTCGAGCAGGAAAAATTTTCTTCAGAATTTTCTCTCCATCTTTTGATGAGGTATTAATACTCACTAGCATGATGATGATGATGATGAGTAAGTTAATCAGGAAAACTAACAACAAGAATCCACAACCTACACAAACAAACAAGTTAATACAAAAATCGTTTAGATTACACATGTTGATGATCAAATCAAATGTTTGATTGTAATAGTTAACATTAGATTGTTGATTCCCTATTGAGAGTAATCATGATGATTTATAATAAATCTGTATGACTGATTATTAATCAATCTAATGATAATCAAGAAAGCAAACAATCAAGAGTAAACACATAAACAGTATAGATAAAGTATTAATAAGATTAATCTTTAAATGAATTCGATTGCAATTATCATGCTAATTATTGTAATCAAATTATGAAGATAATCAAAAACCATGAAAAAAATCAACACCAAGATTGATTATGTGCTCAAAATGATTAAATAATTTTCAATAAGTTTCCCATTAAATCAACGATATGAATCATTATCAAGATTATATTCTAATGCTTTAATCTTGATTCATGTGACAATTTAAATGTAAATCTAATTGAAATGATCGCCTTCTCATTTCACCGAGCTAACGAAATTTTCAATGACAGCATATTCACTAGAGTTCAGATAACAATAATTATGTTATTAATAATAAGTCAAAGTCATTAAATCATTATCAAGATTAAGAGAGAGAAAGAGAGAGAGAGAGATTTACTAACGAATAATTGATCAACGATTTGAAATCGTGATTAATTTGATATCCATGTAAACACCATGGTGATCAGGTAATTAAGAATACAGGGTAATTCAGTAACTAATAATGTTTTCTTTTAGCAGATTTACATGTATAACTCAGCCTGTA